ATTATCCCCAATGGAATCATATGGCATGGAACATACTTTAAAAATAGATTTATTCCCACTAATTTTACTAGTATACCAGTATTTCCTTGAAATGAGCCAGTTTGGCCCTACTTGTTTAAGGACAGTTGGGCATGATAGGACTCAACAGTCTCAAGACCATGACCAGTTTACGTGATATAGGATGTGGTGATGAGAAAGCTGAAATCCCTTCCTCTATGCTGGAAAACCTGTGCCTGCAGGCCACTTCGTGATTACATAAAACAGGGTACATGTTCCAAAGAAGCGGAAAGCATTAAATTCTTTGCTTTGCTCTCTACTGCTCTATTATTAGAATAGCAAATGTTCTTATCTCACTGAATACTGTTACCCACACAGTCCCTTCAGGAGCAAGATGTCAATAAAAATACAGAAGAAGCGAGTCAGAATGTATTTAGGTGAGTAATATGTACTCAAACTAGCTCAGAGCTGAGTTTCATCCTTGGATACTGAAGCAGCTGGCTAATGAAATTTCAGAGCCAGGTACAGTTACCACGACTAGAAAGCATAAAATACCACTGTGTTAAAAATGGGGAGAAAGGAAGACCCTGGAGACTATCTGCAATGTCTGCTTTAGCAAATAGTATGAAGCAGTAATAGTTTGTATATGCTTTGAGACTCAGTTCAGAAGTGCATTATTGATCTGAACAGAAATTTTATACGGATGCATTTGAACCATTAGTCAAACACTTCATACTAGTAAAAAATCCCTGCTGGAATAAATAATCAACAAGTTTGGAAAGCACATAAAAGAAATCGAAGCAATCAGTCAATAATAACTTACCTAGAATGAGTCAAATAAGTATAATTGCAACCTACAAAACCAGGCCTGTGGCTAGAGGAAAGTGGAGTAAATACCATGTACCTTGAGCTTAGTAAAACTATTGACAAGGTCTCACATAGCTTTCACATAAATAAACTAGAGGAATGTGGTTTATATTAAAATATTTTAAGATAGGGATAGATCTGGTTGCTGCAGAAATAAATTCAAGATAATGCACTTGGGCAGATATAGCCAGGTGCAAAGGCAGAGGTTGGAAGCATCTGACTATGTAACAGCTCTTGCAGAATCAAATATTAGGTCATAGTGAACCACTGGCTGAATCATGACAATATTGTCCAAGAAAAGGTAAATCGAATCATAGAGAGATGTATGACTGAGAGTACAGCCCTCAAGGTATATGAAGTAGTCATCTTTCTGCTTCACCCACTTAAAATATTCTGTTTAATTTTGAGTACTGTAATATAAGATTTCCAAAGGAGAATAATGGTGATGGTTGGAAGTCTGGAAGATTTGAACTAGGAGAAAGACTTAACTAGTGGGTATGATCCTGAAATGGAAATGTCTAAAAGGTGAGATGGTGCCCGTTTTTAAGTACACGTGTGCTACAGAAAGATAGGAAATAATATGTTTTCGAGATCTGTTTTGAATAAGATGGGAATTAATGGTCTTATGTTACAGAAAAGAAGATTCAGTGAAGATTAGGAAAAGCTTTGCTTTCATATGAATCTCTACATTGCCTGGAGAGATTATGCAGTCAACATTACTGCTAGTCTTTAGGACTGGGTTAGACTCATGTCTATGGAGAAGGACAAAGGTATTTAAGAGACTTGCTTGAGGACCATTTCAGTCCTACATGTGACAGATTTGCTTTTGAAGTTAAAAAAAAAAAAACAAAACCCAACAAAACAAAACCACAAACAAACAGGTTTTAATTATGTACAGACCTTCAAAAGAAATTCTTACTAGATGAACTATGATCCCTATCTAGATCTATGATGTAGGCCAGATCTTCTGATGTCATTTCTTTTCTCTGTAAATGAAAGTTGAATCCAGACTCAGCTCCCTGCTTGTGATATTCCTGGACTATGAGAAAGTACTGAAGTGAATTATGTAGCTGAAATACTGTTGTTGAGAAATCATCCGATTTTCACAATGTGATGAAGCAACATACAGATTTTTTAACCCATTGCTACTGAACAGGTAGGTATTTTGAATATTGTTACAATTATCTAAGAAACTCTGAAAGACATTGTCGTGGTTTAAACCCAGTCAGGTAATTCGTTTGCTCACTTCCCCCTCTTTCTTGCCCTCCCCCTGCTCCCGGAGGGACGGAGAGGAGAATCGAAAAGAATGCAACTCCCACGGGTTGAGATAAGAACAGTTTAGTAACTAAGGTATAACACAAATCACTACTGCTACCACCAATGATAATAATGATAAAGGAAATAACAAGGGAAGAGAATACATCATCTCACCACCAGCCGACCGATAACTACAGCCCGACCAAGCTTTACCTCCTCCAACCCTGCAGTCTCCCAGCCCTTCCGGCTAACTCCCAGTTACATCCTGGGCATGACGTGCTGTGGTATGGAATACCTCTTTGGTCAGTTTGGGTAGGTATGAGGCTCACAAAGTCCTTGGCCAAACCAAAACATCGCTTGTTATCAGCTCTGTTCCCGAGCTGAAAGTCAAAACACTGCACTACACCAGCTACCAAGAAGGAGAAAAATGACTGCTACTGCTGAACCCAGGACAGACATTTAATACAGCATGTGATTTCTCATTCTTCAATTGTTAAAGCTTTGTATATTTACATTATAAAAGTGTCATCTCTGGCTGCTTTAAACGAATTTCTCAGAGAACTGCCCAAAATAACATGATTTAGTGTAAAAGTCAGTCCAGAAATCTGACCTCAGAAGGACTTCTATCTTCTCAAAAAAACCAAAAAAGGGCCCTTGTTTGCAGCAGAAGTGCACCATGTAGCTGTTGTGTTTGTTCAGAAGTTTGATATTCCTTTTTCTTATAGCTATGTCTAAAAGGGTTGACAGGTAGGATCTAGCAAACTAGTTGTGCCAGATTAAAAAGTTAGCACTGACACATTCTCCTGGAAATTCCAGCCTGTGCTCCAGAATTGGCAGCTCTCAGCAAGACCATCAGACTTCACACTGAAGTTGACCTTGTCCAGGCACATGTTTCATTGCACTCAGTCTGCTGTGAGCACAGAGGCCTCTAACAGAAAAGTAGTGCTAGGTAGGAATTTACAATGTGAGAAAGGCTTGAAACTCTAGAATTAAAAAAAAAAATCGATTATGTGCATGGAAAGTGGCCTGCAGGAAACACTGTACTTAGCAGATTACAGCTATGAGTTTCAATCTCATCTAAAAAAAAGAAGAAAGAGCTCTGAAAGCTGCTACCTTAATCTGCACAGCAGAAGAGCAAGCTGTCTCTCTGCTGTCATTCTTTGAACAGATGTCCACTTCAGAAAGAAACAACAGAACACCCAACAGTTACTCTTCTCAAATGCCTGCTTACCACTGAACATAACTTTTGTCAGTGGTAGATGAGGTCCTTCTGCTCTGCAACACATCTCAAATAACCTGAAGAGGATTTCAGTGAGTGGCATGCGATATGTTTCCACTACAAACCAATACCAGAGTGTCCAGGAGTGACTTTATGATGCTGTCCAACAGCCTCAACTTTCCATTTTGCAAATTACATTAAAAAACAAATTCCTGTGCAGCCTTGTATTGGTTGTGGTATTACTTTATTTTACCTATCCGGTTTCTACATGCAAATTCGCATAACTTAACGTCGCGCTGTTATTTATTTATGGTTTATGCTTTAACACACTTTCCACGAGGTGGCGCAGTGATGGAAGGTTTCCCTTCCACGCCGACGGGCTTCGGTGTGACCACGCTGCCCTCTGCCGGATGCATTAGGCGGTAAGGGCACGACACAGGAGACACCCCTGAAATGTGAGGATTTACGTCAGTGGGTGATGAAAAGCCCACTGGATCCGGCCGTATGCAGCACTCCGGACGCTGCGGACCACGCGGACCCTCCGTCCCGCCTTGACAGTGTTACCCAAGAAGACACGGAGCCTTCATTCCTTTGCAGGACAGGGCTTTGCACAGCCCTCTGTGACAAATAGGGCCCCTGTCTTCATAACGAGGGGGCAGGCTGCCGCTCTTCCCCTAAGTGAGGTGCCCCTTGGTGCCAGACCCCTTCACCCAAGTAGCAACCCTGCCCTATAAAACAGAAAGGCCCTGCAAAGGGATCTCTACAGGCCGGATCAATGGGCTGTGGCCAGTGGTATGAGGTTCAACAAGACAAAGTGCCGGGTCGTGCATTTAGGCCACGACAACCCCATGCAATGCTACAGGCTTGGAGAAGAGTGGCTGGAAAGCTGCTCCGTGGAAAAGGACCTGGGAGTGCTGATGGATGGCCACTGAACATGCGCCAGCTTGTGCCCAGGCAGCCAGGAAGCCCAACGGCATCCTGGCCTGTATCAGAAATAGCATTGCCAGCAGGACCAGGGCAGTGATCATCGCCCTGTACTCAGCACCGGTGAGGCCACACCTGGAATACTGGTTCAGCTCTGGGCCCCTCACTACAAGAGGGATGTTGAGGTGCTGGACCATGTCCAGATAAGGGCAACAAAGCTGGTGAAGGGTCTGGAGAATAAGTCTTATGAGAAACGGCTGAGGGAATTGCGGTTATTTAGTCTGGAGAAGAGAAGGCTCAGAGGAGACCTTACTGCTCCCTACAACTACCTGAAAGGAGGTTGTAGCGAGGTGGGCGTCAGTCTCTTGTCCCAGGTAACAGGTGACAGGACAAGAAGAAATGGCTTCAAGCTGCACCAAATAAGGTTCAGACTTGATATTAAGAAAAATTTATTCACCAACAGGGTGATCAGGCGTTGGCACAGGCTGCTCAGGGCAGCGATGGAATCACCATCCCTGGAGGTGTTCAAAACCCACTTAGATGAGGGCCTTAGTGACAGAGTTTATTGGTGGACTCAGCAGACCTTGGGGTCACAGTTGGACTCGATGACCTTAAAGGCCTTCTTTCAACCCAGCTGATCCTCCAACTCCCGGACACCCACCACAGCGCCTTTCCCCGCCCCGCGCTCCCAGCACGCACGCGCGGACATGCCGGGCCGGGTCGGGTCGTCCCTCCCCGGCGCAGGACTACACTTCCCAGCGTGCACGGCGGGCCGCGGGGCTGTGTTGGGCAATGGATCGCGACGCGGCGGCAGGACAGGGGCGGCCGAGCACCCACCTGGCCGCGCTGGTGCTGGCGCGCGGCGGCAGTAAGGGCATCCCGCTGAAGAACATCAAGCTGCTGGCGGGCGTGCCGCTCGTGGGCTGGGTGCTGCGTGCTGCCGCCGACGCCGGCGTTTTCCACAGGTGCGCATGTGCTCTCCCGCTTCTCGCCGTCCTGGGCTCGTCGGGGGGTGGGTAGGGGTTGCCGGCGGCGGATTCCGAGGGACTGCGGTGCTCCGAGGGGTGGGGGGAGCGGTCTCTGTCCGCAGCGGGCTCCTGGGGCAGCCTTCCCTTCCGTGCTGCCTTCTCTCTGACAGGCTCTGAAGCGCCTGTCGTGGGGCGGGTGGTCCCACACCAGGACGTCTTCAGGCTCGGTGAATGAGGGGGGGTGTAGTAGGAGTCCCTCACTGAAGGCAGAGGTGGGCGGATAAACGTGGCCTTGCGTTGGGGATCGGGCAGGGCAAGGCGAACAGTCTGCACCCTGACGGGAACTCTGCCATCCCTTCCTGGTTAGGGTGAGCTGCGAAGGAATGAAGGAATTAGTCGTGCAGTGCAGTAGTTTGAAATTTAAGTTCTTCTGATTCGTGGTTGGGAGCCACTGATTGAGGATGTTTGTCAGTAAGTGTTGAACGGGGCTTTGAGCAACCTGGTCTAGTGAAGCAGGGGGATTGGAACTAGGTGATCTTTAAGGTCCTTTTTCAACCCTAACCAGTCTATGATTTTATTATGGTTTTACTTCTTAAAGATGTCGGCATTGAATAAAACTGCCAGGCTGTAGGTAACATCATATGATTCACTGGATTACAGGCTGACTCCAGTGGCCCACTGTGGAAAGCCAGGCTCGTTAGGATTGCTTGAAGCCACATGCAGCTGAGGTTGAGTATCTCCAAGGATAGAGACTCTACAGCTATTCTGGGCACTGGTTCCATTGATGGACAACCCTTAATGAAACTGGTCGAATTGGCTCTTCTGTTCTTGCAGTATGTGTCTGTGTCCTATTACTGTGCTCATCCAGGAGAAGTTTCTCTTGTTTTCTCTCCACCTGCTCACCAGGCACTTGAAGATGGCAATAAAGTCACCCCCTCACCTTCTCTTCATAAGTCTGAATCAAGACAGGTCTTTCAGCATCTCCTGGTATGCATGTGCTCTGAGATTCCAGTCATCATGCTGGCTCTCTGCTCTGCTTGCTCTAGTTTTTCCTTTTTGTATCAAGGAGCCCACAGCTGTACACAGCCCATTAGAAGCAATCTTGTAAATGTCAAATGGAAGGAAATAACCATGTGTGCCCATGTGACACAGAACAGAAGCTTAGTTTGTGGCAAAGTGCAGGAAACTTTGGTAGTAATGATTAGAGCTAGATAGACAGTATTTTGATAGTACTAACAATATGGGCATTAGAGATTTCTTTTGTCTGCCGGAACAAAACTGGGAGTCTTCTACCCACATACTGATAAACTTAATTAAAACCAGTGTGTGGTTAGGATGCACTTGGTATGTAGTGTACCTAGGTGCAGGTTCCCAATGCAAACCTACTGCATTACATCAAAGGAGGAGGGACTTGATATAGTCAAGTAGCAGTGTAGCCTAGCAAGATTCAGAGCTGGAAGCCAGCATGAGCCTTCTGTGTCTCATAACTGCTGTACCATTATCTATTCTGGGAAACCTTTTTAACTGTATCTCAAAAGTTGAGTTGGTTTATTAAAGAAGCAGTCAAAACCATTTCTGACCTGGAATTTTTTAATAATTGATAATTATTTAATGTATGTGAATCTGTATTGCTTAATGATCTATGGTGGTTTGAGCGACCTTCTCATTTCCTATCTAGTACTTGAATTTGCCCAACAGGAAGCCACTTAGGGTTATGCAGCATAACTCATGAGGCATAACAAGTGCATTAGATGGGATATTAGGTTTTTCTAGTCACCTTTGAAACAGCTGTTGTTGATGGGATACATGTTACACAACGAAACTGTTAGTTGACTGGGGAGTCTGTGTTTAAGCTAACCAGCCTGAAGAAGTTTATGGAGAATACCTCTTCTGCATTTGTTCAGCTGGGTGTGACTTGACATTGCTGTCACTGTCAGACATATTTTTATTTTGATGATCCCATGATGTCTTTGCGTGAAGAATACTTAACAAAAGCACCATTTGCTATGTAGAATGCATTGAGAATGCCAGTGTTGCTGAGAGAAGGGCTATTTTTTGTATTTTTTTGTTTTTATATCTCACATGCTTTTTTGTCATAGTGATGGCAGTAATGGCCTCACAGTTCTCAGCCAGTGTTTATCATCACATAATATTCAGACTTGGCCCTTCCTTTTGTAAATGTTTATTAACCCTGAACAGTCGCAATCTTGTTTTACCAGTACTGAAGGTTTTCTGTGCCAAAACATATGTGGCTGTAACTTGAACAGCTCTTTCTCTGGGATTGTATTGAGCCTAATTAACACATTTTAAAACACTTGCAGATAAGTTCATCTTCTATCTGTGTGGCAGCTCTTGTCAGCCTTGTTTCTGAACTCTTAGATGATTTTTAATGCCTCATTCAACCCATTCACAATTTATTGATCTGTTAGCATGTCTAAAAACTTGTGGTGTGCTGATACTGGATTTTTCTGGTAACACTTCTGAATTTTATGTTGCTTAAGCTTCCTACATGGAAGCTAGATCAAGCACCCTACAGGATTAAACTGAAATGCAGCCCAATCTTGAGATTTTTACAGTCTGGTGAATGTGAATCTGTATGTTTTATCCTTATTGTTAAAAGTTGCTTTATAGTCTTACTAATGCAAATAAAAGAGCTAATTCCTTTCATTGCAAGGTGTAGTGCGTACATAAGCCAGAGTGTCATTCAGGTTAGATTATGGTGGGCAAGTCAACAGTGCTGGGGTTTATTCTTTATATTCATTTCTGTCACTGTCTACCAACAGTATATGGGTTTCTACGGACCATGATGAAATTGAGAAGGTTGCAAAGCAGTTTGGTGCTCAAGTTCATCGAAGAAGCCGTGAAGTTTCTCAAGACTCCTCAACTTCTCTAGAAGCTATCAGAGAGTTTCTTAATCATCATCATGGTAAATCAGTAGTCAAATATGCTGACCTTTTATGTTGTAGCCCCAGAGTGAAGACGCACTTATTGTTCAGAAACATAAGTAAAACTGCTTATTACTTAGAAAAATAAAGCCTTTAGTAAATAAAAGCTAAAGATTTTTTTTTTTCATGTGTGTCTGTCGTATCTACTCATACCAGTAAAGAATATTGTTTCATAAGCATTTCTTTCTTTTTCTTTAGAGGTTGATATTGTAGGAAATATTCAAGCAACATCTCCCTGTTTACATCCAAGTGATCTTATAAAAGTGGCGGATATGATCCAGAAGGAGGGGTTTGATTCCGTCTTCTCTGTTGTGAGGCGACATCAATTCAGATGGAGTGAAGTAAAAAAAGGAGGTAATATTTAGGTGTTTCTGGTTGCACTTAATTTTTTTTTTCAAATGTTTTATTTTTCATGCCAATAATATTTACATTTGGAAGTGGTATCCTTCCTAGTGTAGGAGGCGGGAGATGTGGAATGACTTAGAAATTCCTTCAAAGTAGTGCTGTTTTGATATTACTGATCGTTGCTCAGCCTTTCTGTAATTGTTTTGTAGAATTGCTAAGGTATTGAAAATTAAAATGTTATTAGCTTGCCTAGGCTCAAAATAGTTCCCAAAAACTTTACATGTAAACTTCTGCTTAGTGGGTACTCATGTGCATGTAGACGTGACACTGAGTTCCTGTCTTCACTAGGAAAGTGTTTGTTCTTACTCTGCAGTAGCTAACAAATGACAAATAATGTGAGGTAAAGTCTTAGGGAAGATGGGATGGCAACCTCTTAGCCTGGAGACTTAGGGTGTGTTTCAGCCTGCGAATTTGGCTGCTGACATATGTGAAATTGCAGACTGCCTTTGAGTCATGAGGACAGAGCTCATGTTAATTAGCTCATGCAGAAGGATGTGACTCTTTTTCCCAGTGAAAATATGCCTCTCAGCTACAGCTGCCTAGATGATGAAAGGCTGAACTCTACTTGCAAATAAAGATTGTACCTTGTAGCTATAGAAGTACCTTTTGTCCTTATACAAAGAACTATTCTGCACATTATCTGTATTAGTTTTGTTGCTGTGAGTGAAGTAGAAATGTTTGCTGCTTTTTCAAAAGTAGTTGATTCAGATACTGTCACGTTATTTTTTAAAAATGAGTGTGTTACTTGGACATTAGAATTATTCTGTTGTGGTATAAGTTGCTTCAGATGAAAATTTTTTTGAGCTTACAAAGCATCATACAGTTTAGTATTGTACTCTTTTTGTTTATTTATTTATTTATAGTCTTTGTCCAGATGGCTTTAAAATACTGATTATGTTAAAAGAATTTTGTATCTTTTCCTGTGTCTTTCTGTTGTTCCTTCTGCATGAAGGTTTAATATTGATGCATTCTGAAAGAGAAAAGTGTCTCTCTGGAAGTGTTTTACTTCATTGAGCACACAGCTCTAGTGTGTTTATGAAGTACGAGGTGTGTGTGTATATACTAAAGCCTCAGGATGTTTTAGGTATTTGAGAATGCCCTCTAACTTTTTTGTAGTTCCTAGATTATGAGACCTGGTGAATTTCGGCTGCTTTGTGTGTGTGTGTGAATTTGAGTGGCATAAGGACAGAAGTCTGGTTCCTGGTTCAGTTTCTGCTGCATGCACTACTGGCATTGATAACAATATGGGATCTTATGGGATCGTGTTTGTTCAAAGTCACTTGTTTATTCATTGTGGGTACTGATTAAACCAGTTATGAAAAGTTAACGTAATGTGTGTCCTTAAATAGGAAATATTTTTGGGAAGTGCCAAGATGTTTTCACAGGCAAAATTTCTTCTTGTATGCTCTTCAAGATTTCAGGTTAGGCCCCTCAGCTCTTGGAGTTCATTCAGGGCATTCCTGGTTTTAGGCATAGGTAGTTGAATTGGGGTTTTTGGCTCTTTAGAAGAGTGTCTTCCAATGGTCAGTTTTGGAGCTGATGACCTCTCAGGTTTTTTTTTGTGGTTGTTTTTTTGTTATTGTTTTGCTTTGTTGTTGTTTTTAAAAAAAGTTGGAATGAAAGATTTTTCTTTCCTTTCCTAGAACGCAAGGCAGTCCTCTGGTTTGTTATCAACAGCTCCAAGAAAGAGAGGCAACTCAATGATCCTTTATAAAGCTAAGCAATGAGAGGCCATATTGAAAGAAATTGGTGACTGCATTGTGTCCTTCATTTTTCAATAGAAAACTATTTAAAGAAAATTCGTTGATGCTGAACAGAGATGCTAGAAAATTTATTTTGTAATTTTTCTTTGTTAACAGAAAACAAAATGACAGAACCCCAGAACCTGAATCCAGCAAAACGATACCGAAGGCAAGATTGGCCTGGGGAACTGTATGAAAATGGTTCGTTCTATTTTGCCAGGAGACAGTTGATCGAGAAGGGCTACTTGCAGGTTAGTGCTTCTGGTTTTCATGCTCATTAGAATAATACACCTTTTACTGTTGTTGTAGAGGGTTCTAAATTCATTAATGTACTTCTGTTTCTGATGCAGTCAGTGTGAAGTAACAGCACTTTAACCTCAGGACCTACTTATTATTTGGAACTTAACAGGGCTAGATGCGTTCCAGTAATGGCATCCTCCACAGGAATCAGATTTATACAAACAATATTGAGCAGTATATAGCTATAAGCCTAAAACAATACATTACTGAGTTTTGCATCAGTTCACCAGGATGTAAGCACACATCTTGTAATTCATTTTAGTGTTACTAAGGGTGCGAAACTTCATGCAGTGTTATAGGCTTCTCATTTAACCTATAGACTTGTATTCTTGGCCAGTTTAGTCTTAGGCCATTTTATACTGTAACTTAAACAGTCTTTTTCCCTTTCCTGATGTTTAAATCCCAATGTAGTAATGCAGAACAAATGCATTTACTTCAGCTTTCACTTTATTTGTTTATTTGTCTACAAGTATAGTCTCTTCATTTTCTCATGCAAGACAAGTTCTCCATCTTACAGGTCATTTCCAGTATTTGTTAGCAGAACTGCAAAAAAAGCCCAGTGTAAATATTTCCATATTTCTGACAGGAATACCTTACTAGGTGTGTCAAGAATACCAGGTTCTTGCTTTACCCTTTTTCAGATACGTCACTAATGCAGAGATGCTAGCTTTAGGTCTGTAGTTTGTAAAGACCCATGTAGTACCAGCTAGTGCTGTGTGGACTTGCAAGCGTTGATCTGGGTAGTACAGTTGTGTTAAATTCTACATTTTGTGCAGATTGGGCCACTAACTCTCAGAGGATTGGGGCTTTTGGTTCTTTTCAATTACATTGGGATGTGGTGGATATTTTTCCAGTTGACATTGTTTGTGTAGACAGCAAACAAAATATAAGCCTACTCTTACTAGATAAGTGCTAAAGGCATTTCTGTTTTACTGTAGTAAAAGACCTGGTAAAATCGGTGTGACGTAATGACTACAATGCATAACAGCTTTCTTGCACGCTTTCTGTAGTAGTAAAATAAAAATAACCTGAAGTTCCTTCGCATGATTGGTTCTGTGTCACTGACAAAAACATAATTATTGATGGTTCACATATACAAGCTGTTGTGACCAATGTTTAACCAGATGCTTAGCTTTCATTACATGGTGCTAAATTGTATGAGTTTCTTAATCTTGTATTAAGCCAAGCAGAACATTTTAAAGGGTTCTGTTTTATTTAGGGTGGCAAAATGGCCTACTATGAAATGCGTGCAGAGCACAGTGTGGATATTGATATAGACATTGATTGGCCTATTGCAGAGCAGAGAGTATTGAGGTAAAACCACTTCTTATTCCTTTATTTCTTTGATATCTCTGATAGTTTCAGAGTGTGCTCATGTGAATTCATAATGTATGTAATATAGGTAATCAAAGATAATTGGACAACTTGCTTTCTATGCATTTTTTCTTATATCTGTTTAAATCATCTAAATTACCTTTGCTATATGTTTGGGTTTGTGTTGGGTTTGGATTTTGTTTGTTTGTTCGTTGGTTGTTTTTTTGAAAACTCAGCCTGGGGAAAATTGTAAGCCTCACTGTACTATAGCAGTGTATTAGCATCATCTCTGGCCTTTACAGCTGAGTTGTCCTAGGCTTCCATGGTCTGGAGCAAGTTTACTGATGCACGTGACTGAAGAGTATTTGCGTCTAAGGCATGAGCTGACTACATCTTATCAGCTGCCTTTTGTTTGCAGCTACTCTGCCCTTCTCTAAGGAGTTAATTGGTGGGAAAGGAGTATGTTTCTGTGCCTTTTTCATCCGTTGCTCCATTTTGGTTTTGCCCCACATAAATGCTACAGAACATCAGAGGTTATGCTAAGGAAATAAATCTCATCCTAATTTTTAAATAGACACCATAACTGAGCTGTCTTTGGATCATTCTGGTTTTTTCTTTGAAGAGGGAGAATATAGTTGGAGAGGGACGATGGTGAGAAAAGATATTAGAAAAACAATGAATTTCAAAGTTGATTATCTGAAGATCACATGTGTATTTTAAATATTTGGGGTTTGGAGTGTGCAGAAACTTCCCTCCTAAAAAACAACTTCTTTATCTAGCTTTGGATATTTTGGCAAAGAGCCATTAAAAGAGGTGAAGCTATTGGTTTGCAGTATTGATGGATGCCTGACAAATGGTCGCATTTATGTGACAGAAGATCGGAAGGAAATGGTCTGCTACGATTATAGAGACATTGTTGGTATCAACCTATTAAAGAAAAGAGGAATCCAGGTATGTGGTGTTCTGAAGTGTGAGGATTTATGCCTGATGTAAACTGAACACTGAAAGATTCTAAAACCCTGCAGCATGTAAGTTGAAGTTTCTTCAAAGTAGTCATGATCAAGCAGCATAGTACATTGGTTCAGGGTTGGGACAAATGTTGTTCTTGGATTCCATATTGGAAAATGTTTTGACAAAGTTTTCAATCTCATTCACAGTAGCTATAGCATCTTTTTGTCCTGGAAAAATGTGTGAAGAAGTCTTTATAGTGTTTTGCTAGCACTGATCTTGTTGTTCTGTATAGCCTAGACACTCATTAATTAGAAGTCAGCTTTACTAAGCAGGGATATGTTGTTACCTCTTACTATAGAGAGGAAGAAATACCTAGACAAATCAATTGGTTCATCCTAGATCACTGTGATTGTTGCAGAGAGGGGAAATCAAACCCCGAACACTTTCATCTTCATAGTTGTTTTAACCATAACTTACATGCTTTGAAATTGTAAGAATTCAGTGTGAATGAAAAACGGAATCAACCCAGATCGTAACATGCCAACTTTGACTATTTTTATAACTACTATTCAGTTCTACTGATCTAAATCTTTGCTTGGATTTATGTAGCCTCCTGGCTATTTTCTGTCTGTGCTGCTGCCTTTGATACAGCTGGAAGAATTTTTTGGGAGTAAGAACTAAGTAAAGATTTAAGTTACCTTCAAAGGGCCTTAACCCAGTTCTGTTGCAGGTAAAGATAGGCATGGATAAGACAGAAGTAGCTTTACCCCAAGTAGACTTCTCCAGATACGTTTTTGGAGTCTCCATTGTAGGATTCTTTCGGAACAGGTTAGAGGAGACGTTCATGACATACTTTGCAGCTGTTGCTGTGTTGGGGCAGTAAAATGGAGTAGATAGTTCTTCAAAACTCCCTCAGCTTTATTTTCTATGAGGCAAAAGGGGAAGGAAGCTTGTAATCATTGTTTTGTTGCATCTAGGAGCCATTTCCATACTTGCTGTGACTTGGAGTCTTTCCTTAAAAACCTCCTGGCTTTTGTGCCACACTTTATGTATTTCTGGTATATGTTGCTGATCGACTGCTTTGTGTACCACTTCTGTTCATTCTGTACTTAAAAAAGTCCAAGTATTTCTTAGTATTTAAAAGCAATAGGGAATTTAAGCTTGTCCACAGCTTAAACAGAAAACTTGGAGGGGTTGTGTCTGAATTTTTTTAAAATCTTGCTGCAGAAATCTTCTGGGTTTAACTTACCTTGTATATCATTTCCAAAACGTCAAATTTGGAACAAACTGCGGGAGATTTATCTGCTGTGCTACGTCAGTTTGTTTGGTGTTCTGTTGATGTTCTGAAGTCCTACAGTAAATAAAATGTTATTAGGTAAAGGAGTCATAGGAAATACTTTGTAATATTCTACTTCTGCAAGTATTACAGAAATCTTCCTTGGTAATTCTCATATTCCACACTGTAGCTTAACTAGATACTATTGCACTAAATAGTCACCATGCTACTCTACTGTGATACCCAGTATTTTATTCAGTACATGTTGCATTTAAAAAGACATGCAAATTTATATTTTTGAACCTCAGGGAAGCCTGCAGAATGGTGTTTCACTTTCCCAAAGTAACTTCAGGACTCTAGTGTTGGTTTTGAATGCTAATCACATCTGCTATGAGTTTTGATTGAAGAAACCAGTTATTCAGTGCTTTTCTGATGTCTGAGAGAGCTTTTATGAGAAAAACATCTGTTTTCTTAATAAATAATCTTACATGTTTTATTTCTTTGTATACGGAGTTTATTCTAACTTGACTTTATTTTAATAGGTTCGACTCATCTCTGACAGAAATTGTTCAAAAACACTGTCAGCCATGCAGCTGGGGTGTATAGCAAAAGTTAGTGCAACAAATAAATTAGAAGTCCTAGAGGAATGGCAAAAAGACATGGGTTTAAGCTGGAAAGAAGTCTCTTACTTAGGTCAGTTCCTTTTTTTTGATAGTAAAATTTTATATGGTATACACAAAAACTTCACAGTGCTGCTCAGCTTCAAAACACTTTGATCTTTGTTAATATGCTGAACTTAATGTGATTGACATGTAAATTATAGCACCCAATCACCACAGGCAGTTACGTAATTTTAGGCTTTTTAGGGTACAATCTGATTATTAAAGACATTGATGAATCAGTGTCTAATTTGGTAAGGAGGTATTGGCTGTTTTTATAGAATCATAGAATAGTTAGGGTTGGAAAGGACCTTAAGATCATCTAGTTCCAACCCCCCTGCCATGGGCAGGGACACCTCATGCCAAACCATGTCACCCAAGGCTCTGTCCAACCTGGTCTTGAACACTGCCAGGGATGGAGCATTCACAGCTTCCCTGGGCAACCCATTCCAGTGCCTCGCCACCCTAACAGGAAAAAACTTCTTCCTTATATCCAATCTAAACTTCCACTGTTTAAGTTTTAACCCGTTATCCCTTTTCCTGTCACTACAGTCTGTAATGAATAGTCGCTCTCCAGCATCCCTATAGGGCCCCTTCAGATACTGGAAGGCTGCTATGAGGTCTCCACGCAGCCTTCTCTTCTCCAGGCTGAACAGCCCCAACTTTCTCAGTCTGTCTTCATAGGGGAGGTGCTCCAGTCCCCTGATCATCCTCGTGGCCCTCCTCTGGACTTGGTCCAACAGTTCCATGTCCTTTTTATGTTGAGGACACCAGAACTGCACACACTGCTCCTGCAGTACATGGGGGCAGAGTAGAGGGGCAGGATCACTTAAATGAGATTTATAATGAGATACAGGAAAGAGATATATTTATTTTATAATGAGATTTAGGAAAGTTTTTGATATTACACAAGCATGCAGCTACTGCCCATAATTTTGAGCTGTAGTTCATTTCAGATGGAAGTTGTATAGATTATATTCTGAAATTGAAACCAATGAACAGAATTAAAATTGAAAGCCGTATGATTCTGTACAAAACTATATTTCAGTAACAGCTTAAGTGTATAGTTTGCAAATACTTATTCAGCTGCTCAGATAATTTTACTGCTCTTAAAAGTACCATTCTCTTACCTGAAGATTGTGTGAAGTATGATCAGCATTTACATCTGTCAGTAAGATTTTCCAAGAACTCACATGTGCAAACTGCTGTTGAGCTGCTCAGATAAAAATTGTGTCATGAATACAAATTTTAATTTTTTTTTTTTTTTAATATGTACACAATAAGATAGTGAGTCCGCTCAGCTTTTTCCCTCTGTGATATTTTGCCTTGTCTGTCATCTTTCTCTGTAGGAAATGAAGAGTCTGATGTAGAATGCCTGAAGAAAGCTGGCATGAGTGGTGTGCCTGCTGATGCTTGTGTAGTCGCTCAGAAAGCTGCTGGTTATATTTGTAAAAGCAATGGTGGCTGTGGAGCTGTCCGGGAGTTTGCAGAACACATATTCCTGTTGTTAGAAAAGGTGAACTCATCAAGGAAGCAAATGGAAGAAATGAGTTCAGCAGGAGAGAAAATGGGGAAATGAGAACAGCAGGAGAGGAAATAAGGAATGAATGAAAAAGGACTAACACAGTTGGTCAGTCCTGCCTTTCTTCTCTTCCTCTCTCATTAAGTCTGTATCCCAAAGGATGGTTTATCTTCAAGTTTTACATTGCCATGAGTTACAGAGATGTTTCCCTCTAATTTAAGGTCTCACTTCAACTAAGTGCTGATATGGGTGATTGTATGCTGATAATAATTATCATATTCAGGATTATTTTAAAAGCCATTAAAGAAATGCTACAAAAAGTAGTGTTCTGTAAATCTAATCTTAATCTTTACACCTGTCCTACAGGAATGATGTGTCTTTAGATCATAATCCAGACATTTTTCAGGGATGAATGATTTTACATGACTTGAAGATCTGTAATTCAGACTTTAAAAAAAAAAAAAAATCTGATCGTTTTTCTCATTTGGATTACATTTCCTTTATCAAATGTCAGCATGGTATTGTAGTTGTGTGCTATCTTTTTTGCAGGATTCATCTCCATAAGGAAGAATTTTAACACGCTGGAGAGATGAGGAGAAAAATAAATATCAAACTTCTTCCTGTATTTTTAAAAGAAAGCTCAGTTACTGTAAACCCAGTTAATATTATTTAAGAAAAGCACTTAAGTGTGTGTTAAATTTCAAGCTCATAAATAATTAAATGGCATTTGGAATTGTGCCTCTTTGAGTCTGTTTATATTGGGGTTTATGCAAGTGCTTAAATTAACATACGTGAATGCTTTGTCAAATTTGGGGTTAAATTTCACACTAACATTGAGATTGTTCCGTTGTAGAAACTCGGTTTCTATCTGTGAAGGCCTTTATTACAAGCACTGAGTTAAAAACACTCTTAACGTTTAACGTGTATTGTATGGAAAACTAAATGCTGTTTAAAAACAAAAGACAAAAACCAGAAAACAACCAAAACATAGTTGTTGATTGTGGTTTTATAAAAACTGTATATATACAGACTTTTTAGCATGTTAATTTAAAGCTGGTGTATATGTATGCTTGTATTTATGGAAAATACGATTTTTACTGTGTCTTGCTTTAAAGAACTTGGTCTCTGTAAAAATTCATAGAACTGACTCTAAAAATAAGCATCAGTTTTCAATCCTAGTATTTATCAGTGAATCAAGTTCTGCTTTGGGTTATGCTAAAAAATAAAAAATAGCTGTGGTACACAGGTAATTGCTACTGATTTTGATAATGGATTGACATTTTGTTTCTCTGCTAAATAGGCACTCCCACTATAATATCACCCGACAGATGGCCCTCTGATTAAATTTGTGTTTACTTCCTTTTACGAAGGAAAATTTTAAACTGAATTTCTTTTACTGTTTATCTGCAGTAGGAAGAGTAACAGATGAATAGTTTACTAATCAGCTCTAACTTATCATTTAAGTATTTCTTGTCAGTGAAGTTTTAGGGTTCTGTGCTGGATAAATCCTATGAACTTTGATAACAGGAGAGACACATTTTAGACTGAACTGTGGACTTTGGTACAGCGAGATGGATTATTTAGTTTTATAGACTTATGTGGTAAAGCTTCAGAAGTCCAGACTCAGTGATCAATTCAGGTTTGATAATGTCACAGAACTGGCCAAGTTTTTTCATTACTTCACTTTGTGTCATTATCCATAACTTGCTGACTTAAATTTCAACAAGAGTTCACTGTGAATAGATTGCTTTAAACAAGATGACTGTGATTCCCATTCCTTTTATGTTAGAGAAAGCAAAAATGAGTAAGTGCAATTGTAATAAAAATATGAGCTGGCAGTACTGTTTTTAGCTTACTGTTTGAATCAATAACTCTTCTAATGTTTCAGCTGCTTGCTGAATGTACTCCGTATACATTGTGTCTTTACCCAAAATTTCTGCATGAATCAAAAATAAATGCAGAGATGTTTTTATATGAGTGTTGGTAACACTTTGGCACAAGGAGCAGTGGTTAGCCCTTCACCTACTTCTGGATCCATTAATTTATTTTTATATGATCTTTGTTCTATTCAGTGTGTGCTTCTCTCCAGTTCTGTGCTATTTCCCGTAGGGTAATCCAACGTATTCTGACCTTAGTTCATTTCAGATCGATATGAATTATATATCGCTCAACCTTTTGAGGTTAAAGAGATTTTATGAGACTTGGTGATTTAAGCTGCTTAATAATTTTAAACCATGAGCACACATTAGTTAATCTTTTCCAGAGCCTATGTAAGATGGTTGTTCTGTTGTTGGTTTTTTTTTTTTTTAATTATATTTTCTATTAGTATTCTCTTAAAACACTATTTCCTGTTTCCGGAAATAACTCCAAATGAGTTTGGTTTATACCCAGCAGGATTAATTATCCTAAATGTCAGCATTCTAAGAGCAATAATAAAGTATGTCCAGTGGAAGAAAGCCACCATTATGGAGAAACCTGTTGCATAGATGAGTTAGTTAGAAAAATCTTGTCATTAATGCACTTGTCTTAAAAATCCTTGGTTGGTACGTTTGTTTCTCTCTTTTTCTCAGATAGGTTTGTCTGTCCCCATTGGTGATCCTAGATGCATTTGTGTATGTGGCTCTGTTTTAGTAGAGCTTTTCCCACTGCTAGGTACTGGAGGAAAGGGAAACAGTTGAGAGCAGCCCCCTTCTATAGCTGTCTCCCACACCTCCATGGCATTACAGACCACTTCCCTAAAAGGGGTGCCATTATTTCTTTTTGCAGATGGAAGGATTTTTTTAGTTGCTTATAAAAAAAAAAAAAGGTGTTACAGGGAATGAGCAGTGAGCAATGTGGAGGCAATGATACCAAATCATTTAGGTTAGTAAAGAACAGCTAACAGTAAAAAAGCAAACTGAATTTTAGGAATTAAGAGCACAAAGATAAAAAAGGATAAAAGTAATTATTCCACTGTATAAGTCAGTGATTTACATGTATCTTAAACACTGTGTTTTGTTTCATGCACGTTAAAGAGGTTGTAGTACTCAAATGGTTTGTGGGAGGATAAAATGGATGACGAAGGAATCGGGTTCAGTGTGAGCGACAACCAGGTAAGAATTCTTCAATTTGGAAGAAGGAGGGCTGCAGGGAGTTGTGTTAGATGTCTAACAGGGAAAGACTGCCGAACAAACTAGCAGAGACCAACAGCATATGCCTAAGGAATATGAATTTATTGTGTTGTGTTAGGCAGTGCTTTCCAGTTTTCCTGTGGCCTCAAAACGTTTGCAGCTCAGGAATTTCCATAGCTGGACATGGCTTATGGACATTTAATAAATGTCTGTAAGCATACTTAAAATGGCCTTTGGCCATGTGTTCCATGAATCTGACACTTGATAGGATTCCTCTGGTTCTGAGCCTTGGTTTCTTCCTCCTCTTACTCGTACAGGAAATACCCAAGTGAATTTTTAGCCTTATTTCAGAATATACATTCTAAAACGCTCATTCTAAAATGTCAGTGTGTAGCTCTGACACAGCGTGGATCAGGACATGGCATTGCTATTGCCAATAGGAATTAATCCTTTAATCCTCAAAACTCACTGTAAATAAGGCAGAAGTACACACACAGAACTGTGTAAAAGCGCATGACATAAGCTGAATTAACATCTGTTGTTCATAGATACTAATGGTAAATTGTTCATGAAGTTCTTGGACAAAACGTAATTGGATGTTGGGAGAATATTCAGGAAAATACCACGTTTGTCCTGTTTGCTCACATACTCTTGCAGACAAGTTCCTGAGCTAAATTGATGTATATCTGAGCTAACACGGCCATTTTTGTCTTAAATGTGGATATAGTCTCTTCAGGGGTGTAACTTCTACCTAAGGCTGTAGTTGCACAAGGTTTTATTGCCTGTACAGTCTACATAAGAGTGTGGCTGGTTTTGTTCTCACACCTTTTTTTCCTAGTTACATCTTGTCCTCAGCAGCACAGTCTCAAGTTGGAAGGGGATGTGTCATCAGTCACTGATCTTTCTGATCAATGATGCCCTTCCTAAGTGTTGTGATTGATTTGGTGAAGCCCAATCTAAAAAACTGAAGAATGGGATGAAATAATTGACTTAGACAAATATAAAACACTCCAATTAATCTGACTTAATGAGCTTACTTCAGAATGTTTTTCATGATCTGTCTTTGGATTCATTCAATTTTATGAATTCTGCCATTTGTTGATATCTTTTGTGCACTCTCACTGTAAAACATCTGTGGGCTGTCTGCAAGCCATACTGCTTTTTACTTCTTATTCTTGCATGCTTCATACCCTGCTAGGTTTTTACTAAATGACTTTGAGCACCTTGCAGTTAGGAAGTGCATAGCAATGTCGAGAACAAGCTAACAGGATCTGTGCCTTGCAGTGCATCTGTACTGATGCCCCTGCCGAGAAGCAGGGGAGCTAACCTCTGGGCTGCTTCAGTTAAGGTACTGTCATCGGTGTCTGGGTTTGGATAGCACAGAGATACATGAGCTAGCTCTTACTGCATTTCATTCACCTGCTAATGAAGTCATGCTGTACCTTTTGTTTTTAATTATTATTATTATAATATAGGTAAATCCTTAATTTAGCCAGCAGGCAATGCTGCAGACTAATTAATTCCTCCTCCCTCTTAAGTAGCTAGGCAACTAACTGCAGTTTTTGCAGCACAGTGACACCTACCTGGCTGTTGGGTTAGGTCTAAGTAGTTTACCAAGGTCACAAATGACAGAGTACAACAAACCACTTTTATCCTTTGTTTTAGTGAAAGGTCCTGCAGGCAGAAAAGGAAAATCTGATTTTATTAATCCTCAGTATTTATATTTATTTATATGGGAGTGCCATCATCTGTCCCATTGTCCTGTCTCTACTGTGGCTGCTGGTAGATTCTGAGTGGTGCGGATTGGTCATTCCAGGGTAAAGTCTTGCAGACACAGGCAGTCAGAAATGAAAGAGTTCATAAGCAGGCTGTGCATCAGGACTGTCCCTAGGTACACAGACACAGACCTGCTCCCCCCAAACCTGTGTCTGATTCCCTTTAGAGTGCTGTTTTTGAGCATCCTGCAAAAATGAATTCCTAGTTCTTGTGCAGAGCTTTGTGGTTAAAATACTGCAGTCAATAGATGTCAGTGAAGAGCAAGCATTTCTGTTCCTTTCAGAGGCAGCTCTGCTCCCCTTTTACTGGCAGAAAGCCTGAGCGGCTGCGAAGCCCACACCAGAGTGGACATGTCTGGTGCCTTGGGATTGCAGCTGTTTCCAAGGTAGCTGCTTCCAAGGCAGCTGCTTCTCTGCTTAGCATTGGCCTGTGAGACCAGTTTGGAAAAAGGACAGAAGGAGGCACAGCAACGTAAGTTCTGACTTCATGTTTTTATGTTGCTGGGATTTTCACTGAAGCAGCTGTAGGGAGCTCCTGCTGGTTCCCTGCTGGGGCCATGAGGTGCCGCCGCTCCTCACTGCTTGGCCAAGGAGAAGACTCTTCCATGGGAGCCCAGGAAGGGCAATGTCTCACCACACACGTGCTATCCCTGCCCGTTCTTTCCTACAGTATAGTCTCTGTGGTATGCAGGATGGGCAAACAGATACAGGAAAAGGGGAGGACTGTCTCCAAGTTAGTAGAGAAGCTGCTGCAGAATTGTGTCTTATGGTTGCAGGTCCCTTGAAAAAGGGTGGGTTGTCGTCACCTGTGAAGCTGGAACTGGTAGCAGAGTGACACAGCCATTCAGTTTTTTCCCCTTTCTGAACACGATCTTTCAGCGATTGTCCTCACCACCATGCTCAGCCCTTTCTGCCAGGCTTGATTTCTTCTGCCCCATCCCCACTGGTCTTTGCAGCAGGAGCATCCTTGGCTCTTTGTCTGTGATCTGTGACTTTCATCAGCTGGTCATGAAGCAATCCCCTGGAAATTCCTTCTGTTCCTCCATGTTTATTTTTCCAACTGACAGATGATTACACATAAACCCTTGTCTTGATCCCCTGAGCATCTCTGCTTTACTTAGACCCAGTGTAGAAACCCACCAATTGATCTGCCTTGAGTTTTCTCTGTTTTCCTATGACTTATGGTTTCAAAGATTACCAGATCTGACTCAGATTCCTTCCC